GAGATAGGTTGTAGCATGCGTGTGTGAGCGAGTTGTGTGAAGTGTGCGTGTGTGTAAGTGGAACATCCAGGGAGATCCAGAGTAGTGTGTGTGTGAACAGTTGCTCTGAATCCAGTGTCAGAACGGTGATGTGAGGGCGCTCAGGCGCCATAGCCATTTTGAAGCGAGTTTGAATCTGAACTGTGTTCCCGGCCTTCATATCTCTGAGTTTTGTGTGTGCGCCTGGCGCCAGTGTGAATTGCCATCTGTTCTCATGCATGCCGAATACGGAAGAAGACAAGTCTGATTGCATTGGGTACACACAGCGCCATGTTGGATGGACCTCGTCGGCAACGTCCTTCTCCATTCCACTTTCCTGCTGCGCAGCGGCTTTAGTCAACCGCAGGTTACTGAGAGTCAACCCTTGACCTGAAGATCACGGACCAACTGGTGAGCACAAAGCTCGAAAAAAATCTGTGAAAAGAAATCAGTCAGTTAACAACCTCGCAGTCTCAACCTCAGACCAAAAACTCTGTGAACAAAAATCAGTCAGTTAACAACCTCGCAGTCTCAACCTCAGACCACTGCTCAAACCAACAGGAAAACAACACGTTCTCACAAACCTCTACCACCTGAGGACATCAAGCTGCAACCTGTTCGTCAAATGGACGCCATGCAGGCTACCCATCTCAGAACACACAACGAAGAAAACATGATAAACTCTCGAACAAAAAGAGAATACGTTCCACAAAGGCACTTCTTTTCACTGATAAAATAAAATATATATGCGGAGGCCGAGGCCCCGGTGGGACGTAGTGTTACACTCACCCTCAAAATGCGAGCTCGCCGGATAACGAGGAGCCCAGCAATCATGCATTGATTCAGCAGCACTATGCATGCGAGAATGATTTTTGTCCTGTGCAGCTGCCCTCACTGGTGTATATGCAACTGCTGGGTCTAATGGACACCTCCATCCTTCACCAGAGTTTGTTTCATCCTTGAGCATCTAGATGAAACAAACTCTGGTCAGGGATGAAGCGCCTCTGAGAATGTGTGGGTTTGGCTCACTTTCAGAGGCAGGACAATTTCCCACTGCCTCCGCCACTGCCTCAGCCACTGCCTCAGCTACATCCCTCACGCCATGCTGTGATTCCACAGTCCCCAATACATAACACGGTCAACTGGGATAGCACTGGGCAAAATAGGAAATAAGTGGGCATGTGGTTCACTACTATCACTAGTGATTTGCCAAGACATGCACAAGAGGTCACATGAGGACATTGGCAAATTTAATGAGGAGATGAGCCCCAAACACTAGAAAACGGAACAGCTGGTTCTCAAGAGCGAGGGTAGAGTCACGGCAAAATGTGGCACGGTTGTAGAATTTCCAGATGTATGCTACCATAGGCCCAAACAGCAAGGACTATCCAGTGTCCACTGGACCATCTACTATACCATCCACAGGACCATCCACTGGACCATCTACTATGCCATCCATTGGACCATCTACTATGCCATCCATTGGACCATCTACTGAACCATCCAGTGGACCACTGTATGACCTAGAAGCGGCCAAAGATGTGCCACTACCTAATACTGACTGAGTCACACTGAGCAGAGTCTTCTCAACCTCTTTCAGTCATTGTGATGAACAGGATGCAGTCCCCCCCAGCTAGCATGTAGCAGAGGTTTCCCATCCAGGTCCAGTGGCAAGTGCATGGCCGCACAGATGGAACTGGGGCTGTACCAGGGGCAAGTAAGAGAAGGTCCCCTGGCCTAGGGCGTGCTGTGCCACTGTCACCCACCTGAAACTGGAAACATATCTCATCATACATGGTGGGGGCTTTTGCAGGTGATGACACTGGGCTGTGGCCAAGCACAGACTTTCACCTGATAACAAAGGTATGTGACACACTCTCTCCCGTTTGTCTGAGAACAGTATACAACTGGCAAGCCGAAGTCAACAGCCTGCATCCCTGTCGAGACTTTGGCAGGACATATCCCTGCATATAGTGGAAACTCTGACATGATGCCATCTCTTAATTAGAAGAAGTTTGAGCTACGAAGCAATGTTCAACTGTTTCTCAGTAAGCACAGTTAACCGAGTTCTCACACTAGCCTCAGACGCAAGTGGACCTCGCTAGCTGCACTTCTCAGTGTTCTCACAGCTCTCTCTCTCTCTCTCTCTCTCTCTCTCTCTCTCTCTCTCTCTCTCTCTCTCCCCCTCTCTCTGTCTTCCCCGCTCTCTCTCTCTCTCTCTCTCTCTCTCTCTCTCTCTCTCTCTCTCTCTCTCTCTCTCTCTCTCTCTCTCTCTCTCTCTCTCTCTCTCTCTCTCCGCTAAATGGTTTACAGTGTAGGCACGCCCTGCTCAGACCACGCACTTCCGCACTCTTATGTTGGTCTTTTTGTTCAGGATGGAATGGATATGCTTGGCCAGTGCGCCTTTCCAACACATACACAAATAGTCTGCTACAGCTGCACGGTTGTTGTGAATAAAGTCGACCACTTTTTCTCTCGTTGGGGAATGGCTAACTCTGGGTGACGTGGTGGGTCCTTATCCATCAGTCAAATGCATCCTGCACAGACTGTCGGGGTTGAACCTCCCGATCAGTCGTTGAAAGTCCGACGAAACAGTCTGGCACAGTCAGACTTTTTCTTTGCCGACGTGTGTATAGCGGACATGACAAAACACACACACACACACACACACACACACACACACACACACACACACACACACACACACACACACATTTGATGTCTGCAAGTCTGTTTTCATTTCCTTTCCCTCATCCGTCGAGCGCTTCAGTTCGGCATGGTGTCGCTTTTAAGAAGTATTGGTGGGCCCCCCAACAGCCCTAGAAATCCAATGCACTCATACTCGGACTTTCTCTGATGTATCTGACCACAAGAAACGCATTTCAGTCCAGGGAGACCCTGGTGCAATTAACCCTACTTAAGACCCAGCACACCTCACAAGATGGACCAGATACACTTCACTCTGAATCCTTCTTGTACCGGCTCAATCTGATCCAGACAGAAGTGGAGAAAAGCGAACATTTTGATACACACTTGAAGAATCCAAGAACTCCTGGCGAGAGATTGAACATCAATCAAGCACCGCTCATTTTCTGTCATGAAATCAATCATTCACTCAGGCAGTCAGGCAGTCAGGCAGTCAGCCAGTCAGCCAATCAATCAATCAATCCATCAATCATTCAATCAATCAATCCATCAATCATTCAATCAATCAAACCAACCAAAACTCCACCTTCACAGTCAGCAAGCAATCTAACGAATCAACAAACCAATTACTAGATATCAACAAGCTCAATTAGGCTTTTACGACCAATTCATCACGCAATCAAGTCGGGACCAATCATCAATCAATCCAACCAGCAAAACCAAACAAATCAAGCAAGAAAGATAATGCGTCCAGTGATGAATCGAACCTAATTATAGCTTCAAACACAAAAGCAGACAAATAAAACAACAACTATCAATTCTTTAGCAAAAACACGCACAATGCCATCACCGTGATGATCAGGCAAGCTGCTTAATAGCAAACTGATTACGTAAAAAAAAAATCAACCCATCACACTCGATCCGGTTTATAAATCGATTATCCAGCAATCTCCCGCCACATCGCTGTCTGACTACCGTCTTTCTCCAAACACAACGCACCCTCATAATGACTATGCGTTTCATGGCCACAGTGCGGTTGTCCAGAAGACGACGGGAGGGACGCCCATATATACACTCTTCGGACATCTCTCTCTCTCTCTCTCTCTCTCTCTCTCTCTCTCTCTCTCTCTCTCTCTCTCTCTCTCTCTCTCT